ATATATAAATAATCATATCAATATATATATATATAAGCACATACAGTAATGGTCAATAATTCACTTTAGTTGTCATATACTGTAGCGGGGATGTGTACAAATGTAGAAATGCAGATAGTGACAAATTGTTTGCCACTCAAGCAGTGCGTCCACGTTCATTTCGTTAACTACTAACGGCAGACAAAACTATCTGGGTAGAGACAAAAATCATTTCGTTTCAATAATTCGATTAGATCAAATCCACATACGAAAATCTATTTGCTATATCTATTTCACTTCATGCTTGCTTAACTAATATTGGCTCGGTATACGCTTGCAATTTTTACTCTTAGCTTCGTTTTTCATCTTCGCTAAGCCCACAATGCAGAACTCTTCTTTTTGTTACCGGGCGTGCAACAGATACTACCTTTTTTCTGTGTTTTCTTTAGGATCCGTTTCATGGCGTGTGCGTTTATACTAATTTTCCTACTAAATGACTATACACTGCATAAATCAAATGGAGCACCGCCTTCAAGTTAGTGTTCCAGACTTGTTAACTTAATGATAAATATGGCAAACAATTTGAAGACTGATTAATGCGAATCATTCTCAACGTTAATAACGGCACCATTCCCTAAAATTGTATGATTGGAATCATTATGAACTTTTTCTTTTCGGAGAACTCCCTGCAGCAACTTCCTGAATACACAACGCGACATCTACAAGCGGACGTATGCATCGTCATTTTTACGATAGAATACATTTTGTATTATTAACGTTTTTAAAACAATTTTGAGATACGCTAGACACCCATTCCTTAATTCAATTGAATGTACATTGTCCTTCTCTTCAGGCGATTTCCACGACAAAACAATTAATGTTTGAAATAATTTTACCATCGATTTAAAATGTGTTTACTATACCGGACTTGACTAAGACCTATATTGTGTCTTAACAAATTTCAGATAGTGGTTTTTTGATAATGCAAAATTTACTCTACAAGACGAAACTAGTTATTTAGAGAAATTCAGAGACCATCTAAATATGGCTGGCGAATTATTTTGCTTTAGCGAAATACATAATTATTTTTCCACCATCCAGTATTCGTCCTCCGCTAAACTACCTCGGAAATTATTAAGCATAGATTAGGGGATTTTTGCATCCCAAGCCGTGATGAATGTTACACATGTTTTATTCTACCACAGAAAAGATGCAACTTTATTTAGTTTTGAGGGCGGCATTACTTAGAAGAGAAGCTTTCACAACTGAGTCCGTACACTGGCATATTTACATAAAATTAATGATTAATTTATGAAATAGTGATATTTATAGCACTAATATATTTCACTGGTACATTTATTACAGTCGTTATCATAACTATTCTCCTCGTGGCCGGCGGTCATCACATGCATGGAGTGATTTTAGGGTATTATAAATTTTCAGTGTTCGGTTCGAACTAAATTCTGACAACATAAGCCTTACATTTACTACCCTATTATATTCATCAGAAACCAAATGATAAAACGGGCAAATTCAGAAAAAGAAGAAGACAAAAGCTCGATAGTACTATCACATTATAAACTAATAAGGAGCAAAAAATAATCGATATATAATACAGAACAGTAATGTTGCTAAGTGCCCAGTAGCTAGTCAAAGCTAGCAGACATATTTATAAATCGTTATATTTTTCATGACTATCCATACGCTGCAGTCATTTGATGTAAGGCAAGTGATTCGAAGCCAGTTAAACAAATTTTTAGATGGAAAACTTCGGTACCGAAAGGTTTTAGTGAGTACAGAGACTCAGATAAAACGGGTGGCCAAAGTGTATAAGGGTACAGGTAACCATCCTTCCATAAAATCTACTTGAAATATTTCCATTGTTTAAGTTACTAAAAAAAAAAAATCATGTTACTCTAATATATTTTGTTGTATCCTTGATGCACATATATATATGACATTTGTCCATACCTTCATTTCTTTATCAGCCGTCGCTAGCATCCGTGTATGCCATCCAACTGTTCGCTTGGTTATTGGCTAGAGAGGTGTTTAGCTAGACACCGAATGGCCGACTCACAGTTTTCATAATCGGACGAAGTAATAGATTTGTATCTATGACCCGCGATGTTGTGTATTCGGGGAGTGCTTCTCGTTACTTAGCAGATGTAGAAACAACGAATGATGAAATTTGCTCCCGCTTTTACTGTTTGTCATTCGCTTTCTTGTCCACACACTTGACGATGATTACACTTACACATTTGCCGTATAAATTTGCACAGTTATACGCATGTTCATATATATATGAACATGCGTCTCATTACGCGCTTATATTTGTTAGTTATTTATACTTATTATATAGTGCTTAATTTGATCTAGAACGAAAAACGTGACTTCCAGTACTCTTATTATTGTCACTCACGCACCAGGCGACAGATATACATTGTCTCTTTCATTTTGTTACTCGCCAATTGTCTCTAGATCATTTCTCGTTCAAATCCCTCTCTCAACTCCCCTTCTCGACTATATGGGGCAGCGGAGTGTAGAATTTGCTTCCAACATACAATTACCTTTGTGTGTGAGTGTGTGCTGGAGTCATGGGAAAAGGAAAGTTTGACTTGAGTTCTACGAGATTGTCGTTAAAAAACGCCAAGTTTCCTATCTGTTAATAATCATATGGTGTTCTTCGGCTTTTCGTTCGGTTTTTCAAGTTTTCATTAACACGATGAACTCGACTCTAAACCTCTGGTCTTCTCAAGGTTAAGTACCATCGAACGAAGGTTTCACTCACTGGTTTTCTCTGTCAGTAACCATTGCCTTTTTACCAAAGCAAATCTATTCAGTCTGTCAAAGCTCAACGTGGTAGCGTTCAACATAGTTTCTTTTTTACCTTTCATTCATGCTATCATCGTTTACGCACAATCTTTTCCATACTTTTCGTTCTGGTTAGCGTTCCACAGATGGGTCATATCCTTTCATGCTCAGGATATACGCTCTACTACTGAACTTAGAAAAAGTCAGCAGGGTAATTTGTTATCTAGTTATTACATATTTTTAAGGAGTTTTGAATGTATGTGTGTGTGTGTCTTGATCTGTTATGTGTATGCTAAAGCCGTAAATAATCTTGTTTCTGCTCATGGCGATATGTACAAAAATCTGTGGATAACTATCAAGCATGCGAATGCATATATATATATATATATATATATATATATATATATATATATATATATATATTAGTGTATGTGTGTTCTGGGTCGGTCATGTTACTTGCGTCGCTTGGTTGTCACTTAGAATATTGATTATGAAAAATAGAAGCAATTCAGATGAACAAGCTGATACAGGTAGCACAGAGCGAGTTAAACGGTGTACCGTAGCAAAGAGTGAATCAACCCGCCGCTGCATAGAGCGGTCGACCATTTTAAACAAAGCGGATCCCGACGCGCACGGATTCTACTAGGTGGACCTCTCAGTGAGTGTGGGATAAAAAACAATCAGTTACTACAGAGTCGTATTTGTTAGAAAAATGCGAGAAATTATTTGGCATGGAAAATGTATGGAAATAGTAGAAAAACCACGGAGCTTTACCCGGCAAACTAATTAATCAAAGCAAAAAAACCAGTAGCCCAAATCACAACACTCTCAACAAACAGTAATTGTAGGGGTACAATAATCATGTAGTAATTGCCATATTATTGAATGAGGGTATAAATGGGCTTACATGCTTGATAACGCTTTTTCAATATTCATTCTTTTTCTAAAGGTCCTATGTCCATCTTTCCGATCTCCGACTAACATTGTTTATGAATTATTTTTTACTCTGTGGAAAACGTACCTCTGAATCTGACTTCGTTTCTCTTGCTGAGCTCATCGTTTTTGCAACTGCAACTAGCGGCCGATTTCGAAAAAAAAATTTCCTAACCTGACAACAAACCTAGCCGAGCGTGAAAGGAAAACTGTATCATTACACCGAGCGAGCGTCAAAATCCTTCTGTATACCGTTTCTCAGAAGGTGACATTAATGAAATTTCCCTACTAGCTCTACGACCATCACTGCATATACAGGTGTCCAGATATTATACTGGTAGGCATATATGTATATATATATATTTTTTACTCGCATATATACGTAGACGTCTAGATACACTTACGGTATGCGTCACATTTCATGTTCTTGTTGTTGTTTTTGTCGTTTTGATCACTTGTCTACGCAGTTACGTAATCTACCAATGTGTGCAATAGGAGGATATTCATGTGATCAATAATATGATTATGTTATTCAGTCTAACGTAATGTGTTTTGGAGTGTGTAATTTTAGGTAGTTACTCTCCTGTTACCAATACTATCATTATTATTTAATAGCTTATAACTGTTACTAGATTATTGTGAACTCTATAATGACGTCCTTTTAATGCATGCCGGTTACCGTTATTACAATATTATTATTACTAAGTATTATATAATTAGTAGTAATAATAATGTTATATTTTCTAGCTGTTACTGGTATGAACGGGAGGCCGGCATCGCTTTTTGAAGCCTGGTCATGTTAATTAAATTGAATATTGTCAACAGTCTAAGTGTAAAATGTATGCATTGCTAACTATTGTTGCAATCCTTATTGTTGTTAGCTGTCTTGTCTAGTTGGCGATTTCTTTGATTTTGCCCTTCTCTATTATTATTATTATAACGACGACTACAGGTAACGTCCAGCATAACAATACTGTGGGACATCTTCTACATAACCACAATTCCTGCATCGCATCGACTAATCGGCAGCGTATTATTTGAATCCATCCACTTATTGAGCTCAGGATCGTACACCTCCACGGTATCGAGTGTATTATCTGCGTAAGACGAATCTGATGACGGAACCCTACCACCAATCACGTACAGCGTATTGTCCACAGCCGATGCGGAGCAACCGAACCGTGCCCGCTTTAGTGGCAATATCTCACACCACGTGTTCTAAAGCACAAGGAGAATCAGAAAGGTCAAAGGCAATAAAGATCAATTCTAGGCCACATCAACATCAACAGAAAAAGATAAGGAAGATTCTCTTGTAATTCTACCTTAATTTGTTATCAAGTGAGTAAGGTCTGTGTACGCATTTCCCAAGTGTCGACAGCTTTGAAAATCGCGTTATCGATTTTGATTATTTTTAGTAAAAAGGCTTGTCCTGCTGAGGCTAAGGATGACATTTCTCGCTCACGCAAAACACCTTCCCCGTATGCTCTAAGATCCTTGAATCTGTGCCTACACAAATTGAGTGACAACACTGTAACTCTACCATTAATGACGTTTGCACCATAGTCATATTGCAAGCAAAAAGTTCTATGTGTTTAGCAGATACATTTTGCCTGTGTTGTATATTTCAAAAGCTTTTATGAAATGGTCGTCCACATGGTTAAAGCGTTTCTTTAGACAATGCCGCACGCCTTAAAACAAGGTCGAAAAGAGTCTAAAGCGAAAAGAAGTTTGGAATAAAACTACACGGACTAATCGTTAATTTCAAAACTAAGTACTAACCTCATCAATCGAATACCGTTCCACTGAAGACAAGGGGCCTCGAATTCCGTTGCCGCCTACCACATATATATGATCGTGTAGCACAGCTATACCCATATTTGAGCGAGGGTTTTTCATTGCCGCTAATTGAGATACAACACCCGTCGTTGGATCGTAGACTTCCACTGTATTCACCATACGACGATTATCAATTATGCCTGCAAAATTTCGTATAAAAACAATGATGAATAATAAAAGGTAGATGAACAAATGCACACTGTATAGTCATTCTCAAAATATAGTATGTGAAACGTTATCACTGCATCTAACACCTTGGGTTTTTCAAGTTCATTTCCCACCCACGTCTTTGCCAATTAGAAATTATTTTTCAAGCAGTGTTTAGACATTGACGCTAAACTGTTGAAACGTCTAACGCCAACTTTATTCCTCCCACACATTTTCTACAAGCTGCATCCAGCAAACACCTCAGTCTTCAAAAGAACGTACTCAATGCTGTAACTAATTAGTTACGTTTATATATGTACGTTTCTAGGTTGACTGACCTCCGACGATATAGATGAGTCCTTGACGAGACACGACCCCCATCCCGGCACGCGCGTTGCTGAGAGAATGATCAAGAAGAAGCCAATTATCACTCATCGGATCATACCGTTCAATTGAATCCGTTAGATCTGTGCCGATGATGCCTCCAATTGCAAATAGAGCTCCGTCCGCCGAGCAGAGTCCATGCATCGTGCGCGGTTGATGTAGAGGCGTGAGAGTCTGCCACTCGCACGCAACCGGATCAAATAGTTCTGCGTCAGCCAATATGAGTCCGTTCTGCTCTCCGCCCACGACGTAGATGGTATTGTTAAGAACAGCAGTGCCGTGACATGCTCTTGGGCTTGGCATCTTTGCCTCCTGAGTCCACACACCTCGAAACAGATCGAGTCTTTCAACTCTCTGCAACGCCGAATCGTCACCATGGCGTTGATTTTTATCAAGGTGAGTTCCGCCGATAATGTACACCGATTTTCGGGCGCACATACGCGGCTGTAAACGGACATCGAAACGGCCTTCTCCTTGGCTCGTTTGTTTCAACCGCATACGATAGTCGGCGAGAATTGCCCGGATATCTTCACGTAACTTGCCATCGGGACAGCGCTCAAGGTATTGGTCGATTTTTCTATTCGACATAACTGCAATTCGGACATCTGGCAGTAGATCGTAGACATAGCGCCGACGAGCATTCACATCATGTAGTATCCAGGTCATCAGGGCGTCAAACACCTGACATTCGTTGTCGATCGATAAGCCTTCACTTCGAAGGAACGCCTGAAGAGTTTGCTGAGGAATGTGCAGAAACTCGTCCTCCTTTATAACTTCAGTGAATTTGCACTCAATGAAACGTTTGGCGTCTAGCTTGAGGTTTATGCACGAATGTAGCTCAGCGAAACGGAAGATGCCTACGCAGTTCGACGGGTGAAGGTGCTTACTGAGGAATGTGCAACAGAAGCCAACTACCTACAACACATATTAGCAACAACCACAGCATTTTACATTAAAATGTCGTCTATTTCGATCGCCTTGATGAGAAAACACATACTAGCCTTCCTTCATTTTCAGCCTAGGACAATGTAGGATCTCTGCCGGTTGTTCAGTGGTAAAAGACCATTTGTCGTATTTTACAGAATTAGATTGGGAACGAAAAATAAGGTGGAGATAGTTAGTTAAATATTGAAATCTGATCATAAATTAATGAGAAGTAAGCAAAACGTAAGAGTTAACCTCGGGGAGTTGTAGCATATTGGCGGCTGCCAAAAGGAATTGGCAGTTTTCCTCTCTGACCTCAATGTCTCCTTTATATATGAAGTCAAGAATAATCTGGAACACCTCAGGATTTTCGATCTCATGCAAAGTGGCCACATTTGTTTGAGTCTCCACAAAGTTCATGCGGTACATTGCCTGAAAATTAATACACATCACATCGTCCTGTATTTCCGAACTACGTATCTATTTTAAGCTATTTGTGTTTAGACCGGCATACTGGAGTGCTCAGCTTATTAAAAATTTAAATAAAAACCTACCTCGAAGTAAGGACTGGCAGCGGCAAGCACAACCCAATGGGCGGGAAATCGCTTTCCCTGGACCACAATATTAATGTCACAAAAACGATTTTCTTGGCGAAGCCTGTCAAGGCTTTCAAATTGGCGCACCGCATGGTTTTTTGAAATGAACGATTGGCGCGGATGTGATGCAACGTATGCGTTGCCATTTTGTTGACTATTCCGATGGCCTCGAAAAATTCTGTAAATTATAGGAACGTTTCAATGCCACAGTGATGCATACTAAATTAAATAGATCTATCTCTACGTTTGCCTTATTGTTTATTACTGTGCTAATTGACTAACAATTTTTTTATGAACATCTATCGCTGCCGCGAAAAAAGCTTAAGCTTGGCTGCTAACGACGAAGTGCTTTCTACTTCTATGGTTGTTGCTCTTAGCTCTTAACTCAAAAGAGTTAAGAGCTAAGAGCATTTTAGTTTTATAACTCGGGAATTCTTATTGTATTTTATGGCACATTCATTTGATTCAATTAGATGTAAACTAGAAATGAAAGCGCATAACATACATTTGAATAATTGATTGATGACTAACTTTTTGAAGGCAAATTTTATTGAAAACTTGAAAAGACATTAACTTCAATACATTTTAGAGAAGAGTAGTGATTTGTTTGGAGAAAAGCACGTTGCTCACTTAGATTATGACTTACCGTGCTTGTTGTCTATACTGTGACTTATGCTGCCCTATACGGAAGTGGCCGGGTGGCCAAGGCATGTTGGACATCTTCCCTTCTTCACGCTTGTTCTCGCGCTATCATTCAGGTTTATGCCTTTCTCAGTTTACGATTTTTATTATATCGTTGCAACAGAAAACAGGCTCAACTTGATTTTTACCTGCAACAGTACGATTAATGCGCTCTTTAATACAATAGGATGCTCAAGTATTCAAACGTGAAGAAAGAACATTTTAGACTTACACGTCTCGACTATGACACACTGTTCTACAAATCATCATAATATCAGAAATGTGTGGTCTATATGCTAACATAAAAACTAAAAAGGCATGAGTAGCTTCACGTAGAAGGTCTCAACCGAGACCCAGACCGGACTACCACTCAAACAAGGCTTTAGTAAGGCTGTAAAGGTCCTCCAAATTTTTGAAAAAGCTAGGACGGTTCATCAGAATCTCTATGGAGTTCACTTCCGTTAAGTTAATAAGGTTACCTAGCAGAAAAAAATCATCAGAAAACATTTAGTCGTCCTGCTTCATTACAATACTAGACAGTGACAGCGCAGAAACCGTCCCAGAAGTTTGATATTGTTCAGTAGGCTTTTCACTTCCTGCACATTGCGCCGATAGATCGTGACCCTTTCCGCTCTCTATCAAAATGGAGAAGCAGCATAACTCTCGCCAAAAAAGAATCTTAAAATCTGGCTAAACATCCTCTTGAAGCTAAAGTCATCAAATCCGTAGGCGGCGATATGGATTCAAACATTTGATCCAGAGATAAGCGAAACTCATGAACACCAAAAATGATTTGCTCAATCCCAATAAAAAGGCAAAATCTTTTTGTCGAATTTACTCGTTTTGACCCATTAGCCCAGTTGATCACAGGAGACAACCGGTATCGCCAATGTACAAAGACATCACAATCTTAATATAATAATGGCGGGCAGACCTGTTAGGGTTTAACAACGCTATCTTTATCTACGTAAAATTCATAGATCACCACGAAATGTTGCTATTGTAACTTCATCTTCACTAATGGTTGACAGACTGTTTCGATCCCTATTTTCTGTTAGGTTATATAGTAGTCAATATGTGATCTCGCCTTTGGTTTGTATTCGCGTACCCTAAAAACCACGGTTCATCTTTCTTCTCGTTTTACTAAATGCGACCAGCTTAATAGTGATGCATAAATAGTTATCAAACATACGTATCGTTTTCACTCTGGATAGAAAATGTAGTCTCTGTATTGGTTTGTACCAATTAAGCAGTAGGCGCTATCGATAGGAAAGTCGATTCCTCGTCAAAAAAGTTGGTTGTATGACTTGTACTCATAATACGATGCAGGTTTTGTTAGTTAACAACGTCGCTTTATAAAAATAAAAAAAAAGGGGGCAAAAGTTGGAAAAATCACAATATCTATAAGTTTCTTGAGGGAAATCTAAACGGCACTGCAAAGAATCAATGTTTAAGTCAGTGTAAAAACACAGGAGTTTATACATTACTTCAGCTCATTCCTTCGGTGTAACCCTGCTATTGTGAAATATGAAATAGCTTCTATGGTATTAACAACGGACTGTATCAAGCTTAATTTTTTCGCAAAACAATGTGAACACCTACATATGGGTCTTACACTAGACTGACGACGCAACTTTTGCATTTACCTACACAGTTTCATAGATAATAACAGTGCTCAAAGTATTCAACAAGTGAGAAAGTTTACATAAACAACGGGCGTTGTGACCTTTATGCACAGTCTTATACAACAAGCACTGAGTGCATAGTCTATCGGCCAACAATCAGAAGCATAGATTTGAAATGCTTTTATTTTTATTCTTGTATACGTTATCAGTACGTCAATATCCTTCTCAGCTTAACCGTTGTGATCGGTTTTCAGCATCTGAAAGCAAATAGTGAACAACTTCCGGGAAAGGGACGTGAAAACGTTGTTGTTTCAGCGGACTTGTTTGCTTCTCGGTGCCGATGAACCTATTGTAATGCTAAAACCTGACATATCACATAAGGTCAAACATTTCCTTCATGGTGGGGATTGCTAATGCACCCCCTGAGAAACTGCACAAATTGCGTGGCTTGACAGTATCTATATTACAACTGGCAACTGGTGATTGATAATTTGACTAGCCTCATAATAGTCGTTATGAAACGCACACTTGTCAGCTGGAAGAATTACATATCACTCTAGGTAGATGCACACTCATATTCATGTGTATATATACATATATGTATATATATTATCGAGTACCCAAACGATACAGTGATGATTTGGATTTTTACCCAAATACCATCAGTCTGTGCCGGCAATAATGATACGTTATATGCAGGATAGAGAAGCGGTCTCTATCCGCGAACAAAGGTTACTGTTCTCTTCAGTATAATCTACAGAGTTATCGGAACTTCCTGTTTTCTTTTAACATGACTATAATTTAATCATCTGCACACGCAAAGCAAATCAGTGATCCGCTATGGTTCGGTATCCACTCGATCGTTCACAAAAGCTAACTAATGTCGTTTAGTGGTCTGTACGACGTCAATATACAACACTTAAAAGTTGATAATAGAAACATTAGAAAAAAAGAGCCAATTGTATGCATTTACAACAGACCCCGAGGCTCAATCGATGACGACCAGATGAGAGCTGTGAGAAAAGGGGACGAGTGCCTTTTCCGTGTTACACCCAGAACTGTATCATCAAGAGAGACCATAAAAACCTATGCTACAGGTACTATTACCCTAGCGCGCAGGCGTGTGCCCAAAGAGGGCAACAGCAAACGTCGAGTAGGAACAATACTCTTAATCCACATACACACACACACAAAATTTGCACTCACTTCTCTCCTTTCAGTTCGCCATTTTAACGTAAACGTAAACACACAGGAACAGCTCGCTTGTCGAGACAAAGACGAAGAGAAGGAGTGTGGGTAACTGAAACTGAATAGACGCATTGTTGTTGTCGTCTCCGCCGATGGTAGTAGGGCGGTTCATGAAAGAGGACTGCAGGTCATCAGCAAACAAATGAATACCCTACGAATCAGATACGAGAGATCATAGTATCGCGCAAGCCATAGCTTTGCGGCGGGACATTTTAAACAGAAGAAAAACCAGAAATGCCAGAATTTTTAAGCAATAGTGAACCGAATTATTTCGGTATTAGAAAATAATGTTTAGAAGCTAATGCGAATCATCGTGACCTAAGAAGTTTTTGAGCGTTATGAAAGTAACAAGAGAAATGATTTAGACCTCGTGCCGTAGATGGCTTATGTCGGAAGTTCCTTGGCTTCCAGCTTATCTATTTTGTTCTACGTGACTACTAAACGATACGCGTGATTAAGTGAAAAGAATTTTTTTCTACGTTCCACAGTTTAATCATCGTCCTATCGACCTGGTTTTTATGGTTTAGACTTGGTTCGTCAATGTAGTTAAGCACATCTCATGCATTCCAGCATTATAATCGAGGCAGTCATGAGAAGTTTGCGAACTATTCACAGGATGTCGACGATTTTCAGATGCGCGTTGTGATATCAACTTTAGTATTTGCAGTCGATTTTCAACAAAGTGGTTGATCATTTTTGCATAAAACTTATATGTATGGTTAGGTGAAATTTGAGCTGACGAACTTAAATTTATTTTTATTAGTTAACTCAGCGCTTTTGAAGCTATCTATGGGTCTTATATGGAAGCTAGCGGTAGCTTTGTTTGTTCTATAGTTTCACATGAATTGTGTCATAAGCTCTATGGGTTTAAACCAGTCGTCTCCTGATTCTTAACCAGATATTCTGCTATAAGGGCTTTGTCAACGCTGTTCTAAGAAAGTTATGTAGCTGTGCTAGGAAGCGAACCGCGTACACGCAAGGGGACGAATCGGCGCCATATGTAAAGAAATTGACACTATTTGCGAACTGACGTCATGCCTTATAATAAACTATTTGTAGGGTTACTAAACAATTAAGAATTAGTTGTTTTTATAACTAATTTATAAAATAGCTATAGTCTGAAAAGAGGTCTTTACTTGCACTAAGGCCGTTGCCCTAAATTTGCTAAATATTTTTTAACGAACATCACTTAGGTATTAGGTATTAGATTTTGCCACTCTTCCCCTAAAAAAAAATCTAACACAATCAGTTAAATTTCGACCATATTTTATTTTTATTTCTTGCCAGGTATCTTCACTATGCGACACGTAGCCTGAATGCTTTATTATTTTTTCTTTAATGTGACTATCTACATCTTGTCAATGCATTGTCGAGCAAACGTCACACTTCATCACAATAGCATATCGTTGGTTATATAGGGTGGCTTGAGTTGAGTGAGAAAGATCAGTTGCATAACTTTTGCAGCGGACGGTGTTGCATGTTGTACTCGGTGGACGCTCATAGCAAGGTCCATGACGTCACCTTCATACAGCGTTATACCTGTATATTCAATATCGAACCAGGCTTTTTCGCTGATATTTCAGGCCTGCTGAAACCAGCAGGAGAGCTCCTGCGCTTGCTTTTTACCTTGACGACAAAATCTGGTGTTCATTTGCACTATTCTGCACTCCGTTTCCGCTCGGCCGATCGGTCATGGTAACAATAAAACTTGGCTGATCTTTGTGAGCTGCATACTTAAACCTGCTCGTCCAAAACTATGGCAACTTATTTCTTGCTTCCTGCATACTAACTGCATTCAAACCATTTCCATGCGTGTCTGTGTAGCTCGGTAGCTATGAATGTCGACGTAGGGATAAGGTACTCTGACGCCTTTATAACAATGGACCTAACAGCATGCATTTTCATTAGAAAAGAACGTCTTTTGTATTATCTTATACAAGACCATACTGACCGTTTGATGGCCACGCGTTCATCACGATACCAACATGAGTCCAGAAACATCTGCCTTCTCAACTACACGCCTCGATGCCACATTTATTCAGTCAGCCACGGGTAAAAACAATACTAGGCCTTGTGCAAAGTTGATCAGAAATCTTCCATAAAAATACATTTTAGCACCCATGTTCAGACAAAACGGTAAGGCCAGCCGAGCCCGCGTCGTGGTGCTGTTACTAAATAATATCTTTACGTTTCTTAGGGTCAAATGCAAGCCGACGCGTTTTTTGAGAAATGTCTCTATATCTCAAGTTTTGTGAAAGGAAACATGACATGTTACAAATCTACAACAAATTCAAGAACCTCATACCTCGGCTATATCAATACTGATGCTTGCAGCGTTAATCACGTTGCCGTATAATAGTTATGGTAATCATAATAATACTTCAATTAAAAATTTGATTCTTCTTAATTCGTGTAGATGTATTGTTTGACAGTAAAAGGGAAGTAAAGTTCGAGATTGATCAGAAATCAAAGAGCACAAGTACTTATGGAGTCGTAACTCATTCGGATCCGTTTGTTTTGATAGCTAAGAACGCGTTCAAATAAAGTATATCCTCAGTAAAAAGCACTGAAAGAAAATCCTGCATGAAATGAAGATAAAAGACTAACATTTGTCCCATCTGCCGCCACAGAGGTAGACACAAATAACGAACAAAAAGTGAGCGAGTTAAATCTTCTGCTTGAGATTAATGCAAAGGTAGCTCATACTTATGTGTTTTCTATGTCACTACATTATTACGCCACTCACAAAATAATTGTCTATGATGGCAGTTTGAACAAGTTTGATGGAGCCCGACATTTTTTCGACTTCTTTTTGACAAAAACTCCACCTCTTTTACCCAAGCGGACGTCAATAATAAGCTTCGATAGAATCGCTATTCAGTTCCATTCTCTGCACATCTTCAAAAATGTTTTGTCAGTCGGGGATCCATAAGTGTGTTATGTACGGCGGGTAGGTTCGCCCTCTACCTACTGCACCCAAAAAGTACTTCAGCATGGGATCGTTGACACTGGTAGCAATGGTCAGCCATCATCAGCATCATCATCGGAATCCTCATTATCGTCTTCCAAATCGCTATCACTGTCGGCAAGGACGCCCATCGTGGCTAGAAGTGCCCGCTTGAGATCTGAACCCATTCGTGCCGCCTGTTCCAATTGCGCGCTGCGTCCCGTTAACGTTGCCAGGTCTCGCTCATGTTTCTGCCAATAAATGAAAATATTCCATCGGAAAAAAGGGAGAAAGAGAGAAAAGTAAAGTTGACCGCTAAGTGCATGTGTGTGATTGAAGTTTAGAAATACAAGCAGGTAAGTCTTATATGAACAGAACGTAACGATGACGGGACGTCTCTTTTTATTTTAGTATATGTCAGTGTTAGTTAATTTAGTTGGTTTTATAAAGACTAATACACATACATGGATAATGTTGAAATTTCCATTGGTGCGATCTGTTGAAGGGTAATTCAACGGCTGCTTCAACTGCTGGAGGCTTTTTGATTTGCTCCGATTATAATGCAACAGGTCGTCTTTACTGTGATGATGGTGCTCTTGTTGATGAGGTTGCTTTTGCTGCCTGTTTTGGAATGGAGTGGCTCCAAGGTGGTTGATCCCGATCTGATGACCCCATTGGATGGCCTCAGTGATTTCTTCTGGAGTAAGCGGTCCTTCGCCAGCAAGCTCTTCTCTTTTCCAGCCCATGGCGCGCAAGAGCCGCTCTTCAGCTTCATCACAACATGGCGACGCTGGTGGAAATAACTGTTTTCGCACAATATATACAGGAAACAACATATAACATCAGTATGCATATGGGTGGAGTGCAAGTAATGTAAAGTTGCGTGCGAACTATCTTAACTTCAGTGAGAAGTTCTTCACCCGTTCAAGTGGGTGTACATGAAGTATAGGTATTTTTCAGACTCACTGTTTAATTAAAATTAATCAATATGGTCTTCATAAACATGCATGAAGTAACCATTTCCCCTTTTATGGAAAATAAATAATTAGAGTTCATTTATAAGTGCATTCTTCCCTTGTATGCACCTACGTTTTGATTGTAGATTTCGTTGCCTTGGTAGTGATTTCGCTGTTGATTTGATTGATGAATATTAATGATACTGCTTGAAATTGCTGCGGGTAGCGTAGTTTCGGTTCGATCAATTATTGGTGGCGATAATCTCGTAGGTATCGTTGCCCTGGTCGGAGCATCACGAATTTCGGAAGCTGCCGAAGACATAAAATCCGTTTTACTGTGTAGCAAGGAGGAGTCATGATGTTGGTCGTCGCTGTCCTTATGATTGTTATTAACGCTTTTCACGTCAAACTCGGCTGTTGACTGCCGTTGCAATGGTTGGAGTTGTGGTTGTTGCTGTTGAGTCTGAACGTTAGTGGGTCGAGGGGCAAGGACTCTTCTTGTAAGATTTCTTGGTAGCATAGCTTTATACATGCGATTCCCACCCCGCGAACCGAGCTGGCCAATAACTGAGCTGGCAGTTGCGCTCGCCGAGTTGGGTAGTGTCGGTGAAGGCGAAGGCGATGAGGACGACGAAGTCAACGGGGCCGACCACGCAGACGCACCACCATTTCGATTTTGTCTGCTAGGGACTTCCACTAAGCATGGCTGTGGTTGTGCGGTTATCCCGGAAGTGAAACAATAAAGGGCCAACACCAACGAGAGGAACGGCAATTCAACAACGTAAACCAACAAACATAAGTAATTCCAAAAATTACATATATTACGATAGTTAAAGATACTGTTTGTACACACTAACTCCAGCAATGAAAAAACACTCGACAAACTACAGTAATTTTCGACCTTTACTATATCTCACATGAAAGTGAGTTTCGGTGCAGTATTGTCGTAATTTACAAACATATTTAAAATGCCACACAACACAAATATCAATATTTAAAAATATATTGCGGAAAAAATTGTGTCACCAATACCAGAAGTAAGTTTTGACGGAAGCCAATTTTACCATAAGTAAATAAATTATTTGTTTAGTCGACTGCCAAAGACTGTTGAATACGTAGACAAAAAACATACTGACTCATTTCCTACAAGTACGAAAGAACAACTTAAATCAAGTATTATTATAAGGTGTAACTATTATTCTAAATATTTGAAGTCTAAATTCGTTAAACGTAACGTTTCATATACAGGCGGTCACCATGTGCCTAGTATCGTTACTTCTTATTACAAGCATGGGCTGGTACTTACGAAGTCATCTTTTTGAAGTACGGAGTCCGCCTTTCGAGACTCTGGAAGATCGAAACGGAGTAATTTTTGTAACATTATAGTAAGACCTTCAGCTTCGGATAACCAGCTTTTAAATTTATGATTACCTTATACATTTCTAAAAATTTCTCTAAAATTAGAGTACCAATTTTTTAATTCAAACAATAACAAGTGTTCCCACGTACCAAAAATTCCTATTACAGATTTTTACACCCCGAGTCCTTTACACCGTTTGTAGGATTTTATCTTAATGAAAAACGACCGATAGATAGCACACGTATCAGATACCCATTTTTAATCAATTAATTTAGTAATTAAGAACTTTACGACCTACTATATGTTTTTTAATGTTATGTTATATTCATAACTTCCATTATGGTCGTGTTCTCTATAGTTTTATATTTATCCCTACTATGCCTATCTTCTGGAAAGTCCAGTAAGCAAATCACTGATATTCTCCAAGAGTGACTTTTTCTAACAATCTATTAGTTTCATACGTCACAAGCAGGAAATCTGATACCAATATAAACAGGAAGGATATAAGCAGCTACGGTAATTTAGCCCAAGATTATCCCTCATCCCCCATTAGAAATAATTCATCATAATTAGTTGCAACCATACCTGTGCGTATGTTCAAATAGTCCCTTTTGATTGGTTTTCATCTCATCATCGTTAAAATCCCTTAGCATTCAACTGCTAGGCATCCTTTTACATCGTTAACTTATTATAATGCATTTCACTAGAAACTATCTTCTATTTTTATAATAACCGGAAATTTTACGATACTTTAAATTACACATACACACTTTAAAATACATTAAACTGTATACGAAAAAGATGTCTTTCTGATGCATGTTAAGTCGCACTTGTTTTAAGAAAATTAGGTTATTTTTCTTTATATTAGAGTGAGAAATATTTAATCAATAAAGATTTTATAAAGAGTGCGATGATCGTTGGATTGATAAAGGGCCAATCTATATATATATTATAGTTGTTGCATGCTATTACTTTATTCATTAACATTGTGAACAGATTTATCTCATATATGCCGATGTATGCATATCAAACAAAAACTAATGTGCGTTCCTACTGACAAAAGTTATTTATTCAGTCCGTGTTGTTGCTTCCCCTACATAGCTCCCCGTTACTTTACCCATCCGAAGCAAACATCCGAACCAAATGTAATAATCTATTTAAAATTTTTTTACCTCAGGGCATACGCAATACTACTGTTTGCGGATTAGTATTACTGTAGACAAACCCACTTTCCAATATATAATGTTATTAACATGTATTAGCTCTTTTATCTGTAACGTAATTCATCAACCTGACATTGGATAAACCTGTACTCTCTGATAGAATTACTGTAAAGGAAAAAATATCCTGCCACTGTTTTTGTATTTTTTGACAGCCCTTCTAGTACCTGTATGTGAAAATAAATTCTTTCTGCAAAGTAACATTTTATATATTTCCGGATTTTGTCATGACAATCGGATCATGGAACCTAAGTACTCGCAATGACAAGCTACCACTACATTTCATTAGATAAGAAATATAATTGATAACCTCTTTATGTACTCAAGTATACTAATTAATGAAAACGGTGATTTGCTGCGTTTTGTCTCATTAGGTTTCGAGCTTTAATGGGCGGATCCATTATGTCCAAAAAAATCAGAGTTCAATTAATTTCATAGGAGGAATGCTTTACTTCACCAAACTGTTTCTGACCTTTTTTTATATAATTATACAACAAATAAACCATTAATACTTAAAATACGTGAGAACAATATTTAAGTTTCAACGGTCACCTGTAATAAGCTCATGCCGCGTTCCTAGTCTTTTGGATCTCGACGTCACCAAAAAAAAAATACATTTTTACCAAACTAAATCATTAATGAACGAAAAAAAACTGACAGTAAGGAGGCTGGAAACCAAAAAGAGTTAAGTTGTTATATAAACTGTTAAATAAACTGAGCATATATATATATATATATATATATGCTCAGTTTGCTATATGTTGATTGTCAGTATCTTACCTTAAGTTATACTTACGAAAGGTATTGGTGTTATTATTATGCAGCCAGTGAAGCGACTGTGGTCGACGTTCCCTTGTCGGGGGTAGCTTCAACCACGAAGGGGTAAAATCGTTGAGCTTATTCGTTTGATGGTTGAACATTCTGAGAATGTTCGTAACAACAGTTCGCAGGCCGAACTTTATACGCGTAGGATCTCTGCTCTATTTATCTATTTATATGTACTCATCACAATAAGCTAGTAAGCCAACGACAAGATAACATCCGGAGTTTTGTATAGAGCTTTTCCATAAACAGCTCTTCTGAGAGATGCTAGGCGAGTATCGTATGTGGCCTCGTTGGACGATTGCTTACGCCTGAAATTTAAGAGTCGACCGTTAGTTTTTGTGATGGTCAGACAAACTTTTGTTTCACACCTTCTGAGGTCGATGCATTTACTAATGGAGGCGTAGCATCACGTTTCAAAATGCTTGTTTTTTAATTGATTTGAAAAAAAATTAAAAAAGTTATCTCATTTCCTCACTCCGAAATATTAAAATTGTCCGAAAACCGTCAATTGTAGAAGTATAACATTACGGTGCTAGGCGACTCCATATTACGATCTGGCAACAAAGTGGATAGTTGATGAACTATATACGGTTTTCGTTAAAAAACGATGTTCAAAAGAAGTCAGTGTCGCTTTGTCTTTGACTACTCCCACTTCTTCCCATTTTCCTAACCTAGCCATTTTAGTCCACTTGATACGATTTTTTTTGCCGAATTGTGCATCTACTTTAGTTACATGTATATAATAGAAACTTACCTACCTTTTGTACAAACGCGGCAGTCTGTTTTCTACTTTTTGACCGGAGCACGAGCGGCGTCGCTATACCCAGTCTGAGTGGTATTATTTGCTGCTTATTAACAATAGTAGCAATAATAACAATATACTGATATTAAATATTAAATCATAACAAAATACTGAGGTGTACAGTAAGAACTCAAGTTGCGACCGCGGCAGCTACATTCACTAGTAACAGCACCGTTGTTTACTGGTTTCTCGCGTTGCTGTCCTTGTTACTGTCGTTGTCGTCGTTGTTGCTGTTTTGATTTTGGGTCCTCCAGGCCAACATACGTAAATGTGCCTGGCGGAGCTGATCGCTACATCTTGTGCTCTCACGCACTGAGTAACCGCCACTTCGGAAGACGCTCGAAATCACTGATAACACTCGTCGCGCTTACAAAAGAACGCTCCCAACGAAGAGTTCTCGTCGCCTGTTTAATTTTGTGGCATTTGTTGTGTTGCTTTTTCGGGATTCTGTCGCCGTCTTGGTGTTGTTTTTTGGGGCTATCTGCAACCGTCTACGCTATGCGACAACGAAGAAGGTGGCCCCCCTGGGGCGGACTAGCTGTTTGACCGTCTGCCCCGATTCAGCACCGCCTTCTCGCTCACAACACGCTCACTCACAAGCAGCAAACAGCAGCTCCCACGAACGAAACACACGCCACAACAAATCGGAGGCGTCGTGAACACAAACGCTCACGGAACACGCACAACACAGCAGCAGGAGGAGCAGCAGTGGGTATTCTCCTGGTGCTGCGTGAATAGTAGACACGGACTCAGGCCGACAAAACAGAGCCTGTTCGAACAGACGGCCAGACACACAACCTTGGTGAGTATCCAGGCGCCCGCTACAGGCGAAACTGCCAATGAACTCTGATCTTCACGCCAACTCGTTGTGCAACAACAACAGAAGCAGACCAAAATACGGTAACAAATCGAAAGGCATTCCAAACTCTGATTGTCTAACCAGGTGTGCCTTTTGTGTGAGTCCTGGTCGCAATAGTAGCCCAAACTCTTCTCCGGCTGCTGGTGCTGCTGCAACTGCATGCGTCTCTCGCTCTATACCTTCTTCTCTCTCTCAAACAATTTTCTCTCCCTTAATGAAAAACCGACCGGCGCGGCCGTCGCCGTTGCCGCCGTCCCAAAGAAGAAACGAGCAAACGGCAGGCAGGCACACAATCGAGCCCAAGACAGATAAACAGACAGACGGATGAACTGACCGTTACTGTTTCTACTCTTACGCGCTGCTACAGTTATCGCTAGACTGAAACTGAGCCGCGTTGTTGTTCAAGTCACGACAGTGATGGAGCGTCGATTGCTGACGACGGAAGGCATTTGCAGTCAACGACGCTAACGGTGCACCTGCTACTGCCGACGCTATTTCTGCTGCTGCCCCCGACCCGGATTGACTTTAGATCGCTTCAGATCAGCGACTAAGATCTGAATCTGCTCAATGCACTCCATAAAACGGTGGCACAATAGTAGTTGTGTGGATAGCGGCTAAAGTATGTTGATAACCTGCTTGAATATGGCGCGATGGTTTGAATTTTCGCGCGTTTCATTGCGCTGCGCGGTGCCGCCCGCTGTCGTCAATTCTGTCGAGTTCGTAGCTGGTGGCGCCACTGATGGCTGCATTGGAACGTTTTCGTCAAAGGCACACACACGGACACAGCGCCGACAGGAAGACCGATATCGGCTCGGTACCGAATAGAGACGATTACATATGGACAGCATAGCCAGTGGTCAGATTGGCAGCGCCTTGATTCGTGTAAGAGTTAGCTGGATCTGCGAGCAATCTTCACTGGGTTTATGTAGTATAGCTGACATTAGGTTGTGTCTTTCTTTCCGACAGTAATAACGCGCCCAAGTAGTTAATAAGAATTGGCAAAACGCAATAGAAAGGGCGAGCTCAAGGTTACAAAGAACGGATGATTTAATCACGTTCAACATGCGTTAGAAGAAAGAAAACAGATTTGCTTATAATTCTTTATATTGTTTTTCCGTTATTCGAATTTACAGCATACTGCATTGATACATCTTGAAGTTGAGTTTAATGGCGGGGGAGACTCGGTTAAATAAATTGGTATGATTACCAAAGCTTTCTTCATTGGACACCCTCATTTGTTGTCCATAATATATTAGAAAGCATTTGCATTTGGTGTTGTCTATATATACATATCTATGTCTATATATGTATATACCATGATAAGGGTGATGATGTTCAGGTGTGTTTTTGATTGAAGTGCGATAGTAAACAGGCTGGTCTTCCCTCAGTTTGTCTGCCGGCCGGTCGCTCATCTCATTCGCTCGTTGTCCGCACGTCACTCGTCAAGGTCCGTATTACTTTCGTATTGTTGTGCGAACTCATACCTCTGTCTTTATTGAGATAAAAAGTTCTGGAAAGGAGAGCTTTTAGTGGGTAGAAAATTTGAGTATTTACCGGGAAGCGAACGCTTTCGGCCGTAACAATAGTAATTCAGTCCCACACTACTTGGCTGAATTTTGCGAGCTGTGCATTGAGTGTTTCCGCCAATTTGTGAAAAAACTTGGATCTATGCTTTAGCCGTGAAATTTGGTCTGCACAGTGCATTTGCCCTCGCCTTTATAATAAGACCGAATTAGTTCGGTTAAAAAAGCGAACTAGCTCCTCAAATCCTATACTAGTGGCAGTTATAGCCGCTCTATTTGTCTTCACTTGGCTCGCGTTTCGACTCGATTAACGACTGTTGACTCTGCGCGTTAAAGACTGCCATCGTTTATTTTAGTCTTTGGCCATTAGCAGCAGCAGCAGTAGTAACGGCAGTCAGACAGCTTAGAAATGGGTGATGGATGTCAACGGTAGACGCCGAGGTGTGACGTTATGGGGGACTAAATGGCTAGCTGTCTGTTCGCGTGTTTGCCTTGCCGATGGAAAAGAAGTCGTCTGCTAATAGGCGCTGTTCGACCGCCCGTTCGCGCTCGGCTTCTGTTGACGACGAGCGGAGTGACGACGAAAAGAACGAAGAAGTATACCGAGACGGGTCGAGCAGGCAAGCTAGCAGGCAACCAAAGTGTAAGTAGCTAACAGCATCAGCAAGAGGAGGTATAGAGGCGGCAGGCGTACAGCCAGCAGCAGCAACGTAAAGGAGACTGGTAAGGCAGTCAGGCGAAGCCCAGTAGTACAGCAACTGTTATCGTCGTCTTTATCATCATCATCATCACCACCACCGCCGTTGTGGTTGTTGTTAGCCAGTAATAGGCAGCCGCTAGGCAAACGGCAGCAGGCCACAGCCTTAGCCCATAGCCGCCTCGGCACATCATACTGAAACAGTCATATTGTTGTACGGGGCTAACCGAAATACAGCAACGACAACAACGATCGGTGCCACTGTGACCAACAATAAGTGAGTGTAGTAACGAATGAGTAAATAACTGCCGCATAAGTGTACTCTCCATCCACTGCTGCTGTTTAGTCCAAACGGCTTCAGTTCATCAGCATCCTTTATCACTGCTACCACTGCAACTACGACTACGACTAGCAGTTTTACGGTTTGGGAGCCCCCGTGCAACAGCAGCACCGCTGTTGCAGAACTGATGCTGCTGCTGCTGTAGCCAGCGAGCTAGCCATCGATACAGATACCAGTACAGGACATATTTTTTTTTACTATTATTAGTAGTTGCCCGTGTGCTAAGGCAGTGCCCGATTCGGCGAGCAGCAGGACTATAGCGAGACGAACGACGGCGGCCCACTGCTGCTGCTGCTGCCGCCGCCGCCGCTACTGCTGCTGTTATTCCGACGACGGAACACGGCGACGACGACGATCGCCAACGGCTGCAATATCGTCAATAGTTCGGGTTAGATTAGAGTGACCAGCGGCTCCGTACTTGTTCATCGTGCTTACTGGTTGCTGTTAGTTGACTGTGTTGAGAGATAATCAGAGAAGCGGTGGACGACGGTTGTCGTGGTGAATGCGACCGTCGTCGACGTTGTTATTTGCCCCAAGAGGTACTGCCCATTGTGTCACAACTGAAGCTACAATACAACAGGACCAAAAGCTACGGCTATCGTAGCAATAACTACACAACAATAATAACTAGTAACTGTCGCCACTGCTCGTCTCGCGGTCGACGACGAATCACCGACGAATAACGACGGGAATGCCTTATTGTTTCGATCTTTGCCTTTTATATTATATCGGCCCCTCTATACGACTGACTGTTGCCTGCGAGCGACTGTAAGAAGCCACTACGCTGTTAGATTGAACAGGCTCGTCGTAGGTCAACGTCAGTGCCTGCGTGCCTGCCTGGTGGTGGTGATTGGTGTTCAGCCCCGACACGCGACCGCTAACTACGATACTGGCAACAATACCAAGGAATTGCAGCCGTCTCGCGAGCGCGGCCACGACGCTGACGGCGGTTGCCGCTACGGAAGCTTCGACCCGTAGTTGTCCATCGGCAAAAGGGTTGTTGACGGTGTGGCTGTCGTCCATCAGTGGCCTGCCTATCCATCTGTCCGTCCATCGTGCTGCTGTGCTGAGATCAGTGCTGCTGCTGCTGTTGTTGTTACTCAGCGGCTCGTGTAGCATATGCGCACGTTGATACTTAGTCAGGCGAACAGCAGTAGCAGTTATATACAGCCCTTCTCCTGCTTCCAGATACAACGGAAGAATATTGTTTTTCTAGCTAATGCTTGTAAGTGCCTGCTGCTAGTTGTCTAACCATCCGCCGGCTGTGTAGCGACTCTGTCAGTGTTTCTGGCTATTTGCCGCCTCTACGTGTGTGTGTGTGTGTGTGTGTGTGCGTGCGTGTGTGTGTGTATGTGTGTTTGTTTCGAGCGATCAGCCGGTCGCTCGGACGCTCGATTTCTTGGCCTGTCGCCGGACGGATAGACGGACAAAGGGACGGTGATCGGTCTGTTGTCGGCTGCCTGTGGATGGATGGTCGCTGCTGACTATCGCCGCCGCCGCCACCGCCGCTGCTGTCGCTATCGCTACCACCATTAACCATCATCAACCATCACTAACAGCCGTCAACAGCCGTAGCAGCAGCAGTGAATACTGGTGTTGGTATTGCCGTTGTTGTTGTGATTGTGGTTGTTGTTGTTGTTCTTGTTGCTGTTGTCGTCGTCGTCGTCGTCGTCGTCGTCGCTAGGTCGGCCGCTTACTTGATAGGTCGGTTTATGTTCACGTTTGTTCATATGTACCAATCGCCACCGTCGTCGCCTTTGCCGTCTCGTTCGTCTGTAGCGGCGTGTGGTGTCGCGGTCCGTGGCGTCCAGCGCCTTTTGTGCTAATGGCCTCGTCGTAGGATCATCGTGCTATGTTATTAGCAGTTTGTATTACAACGGGCTACAGCTTTAGCGCTACTAGCCGAACTAGGACCAGGCGTCGAGTCGCACTGCTGCTGCTTGCAGTCGCCGGGGTCCCATTCTAAGAGCGTGCTCTCGTGCTTATGCTGTTGCCGTATCGCCGTTTCGTCCGTAGCCGCCCGTGTAACGGCAATCACAGCAGCTACGACGACCACTGAGCTCAATAATAGCGACCTCAACAACGTCGATATTACCGGTAGCAACGAACAAGACTAACCCTCAAAGGAGCACGAAAAAAACAAGTTTCCACTGAAGCGAAGCGTTGCTTAAAAATTTACAACACCTGCTACTATTCCTTTCATTAGTTTCACTGCTACTGCTAGACCATACTGATCATTCAGGACTGCAATATTATTACAAGAACAACCATAACAATAACAACAACAGCAGCAGCAGCAGTAACACGAAAGGACATTTTTTTTGCTCATTCGAGCTATCAAAGGAGAAAGCAGCTAGCTAAAAAAGTTCAGTTAGCTGGCAAACTGGTTAGTTGTTTAATTCTCGTTGAGGTGAACTGAATTCGGTTAAGAGAAGAGTTTGCGTTTAGTTAGTCCCCGTTCGGGTGTTGGCGGTGATGGTGAAGTCGTGTGAGGTGGTCACGTTAAGTGAGAAATCGTCGTAAAGCCTGGTGAGTGAGCAAGCTGTGAGGTGTGCGCTTCATCTACTACTTCTTCGTTAGCAGTGAAAGCTGAGTGCAGTGTGGATGTGTACCGTGTTCTAAACAACGGAAGTCGTCTGAAAAAACCGAAGGTGCTTCTTGTACAAGCACCTCCCGTTCTGAACGGAGTGGAAAGCAACAAAGCGCCGAAAAGGAAACTTTGTACACGCATAAGGACGTCTATTGTTTCCAGCATCTATTAAAAAAAAAAGGAATATTAAGGACGGAGAAAACGCAGCAAGAGAGTCTTGCTTGCTGTCGTCGCGATTGGATGGCCAGTGATGTTCACCGGCAACGACGGAGAAATCAGCAGCAGCAGCAGCAGGAATCAGTTTGTGCTCTGAATCCGAACGACGACAATCTACAGAAGATCGAAAAGTCTACGATATCGCAGGTAGGCAGAATCCAAGATAACATAACAGAAACTTTAATCGGTCAGTTTAGTATAATAATCATTGTTTTGGTTATCATAGGACGTGAGTGAGGTCCAGGCTGAAGGCGTTATGGGAACTTGGCATTTCATGGGATATGAATGTAGCCTTATCGTATATGTACGTGTTTGGGTGTCTGTGCGGGCCTACAACGAATACCAGTACTGGTAGTAGTGCCCTTACTTGTTTTTCTGCTGCCGCCACCATCGCCAGTGTCGCTGCTGCTACTGCCGCCGCCGAAAAACAAGAACCGATTGCATCTACCACGCCTCATAATTCCTCCGGAAAACGTTCGCGGAAGCGTTCGTGCTGCTAGCCGTGGTAATCAACTGTAGTTCGCGGTAGTGATGGTGACTGAAAAAGCGAACCAGCAGCAATAGTAGTTAGCTGTCTGGTGCGATGCTCGAGAGCCGTGGAGCAGGCATGGCCGCACGAGACCGCCAAACACGGGAACAGTTTATACTCTATTCTCGGCTGGAATCGGTTTTTGTACACTACTTTACTAGGTTCGTGGCCAAATATAACCTGGTATTGCTTTTCG